TAAAACGAAAAAAAAAATCAAATTTTAAATAATTATATATACTATATATATAAAATTCTAGGCCCTGCCAAAATTCTTTTTTGGCTCCACCTCTACATACACCTTGGAATACCCCAGAGTTAGAGCGGTGTTAGACTAACTTTCGTGGATGAGCCGGTGTCAGATCATCCAAGATTGAATATAGGTTAAATGTATTGAATGGACTACTCATGTCAACAATGTGCACATTTTTTTTTCGAATGTCTTACTGAAAGAACTTTATAGTTGCGCGTGAGTGAGGACAGAAACGCGCTGGAAGGACTCGTGTTGACCTGTGGGGCCAGTCTACAATTCCGACACGTCTGACTCTGCGTGGCTTGCGGGTCGGGGTGTCAAACACCTGCTGTTAAGTCCTAATGAAAAAGAATTTTTTTTATAATATTTTAAAAATCACAAATAAATTTTTATAAAACTTTAAAACCAGAAAAGTTTTCAACAAAATCAAAAAATCACATAAAAGATTTTTTTTGCGATCTTACATACTAACAATATCAATAATATCTCCGAACAAATAATAATAATAATATAATTATAATAATAATGTGCTAATCACTTAGGTTAAAAAGGGTACAAATATATATATATATATATATATTACTCCCACCATCTAACAAATGTGTTCATTCTTTTAAATACAAATAATAATATGAAGCTATACTTTTGTTTACTTTTTAGTTTTTATAGTAAAAAAATAGAAAACGTCGTATATGTTTTTACTTAAAAGAAAACCAAATTATTTTTAGGTAATAGAAAAAAAAAATGAACAGAAATTACAGAAAATATAAATTAACCGCAATATTGTTTTAGATTGCTCCTAAGATATTTTTTTATAAAAAAAATATAATATTAAATACTAATTATTTATTTATATTTTTTTCAAAACTTTAAAACTTTTCAAAAATTTCTATCTAAACGGAACCCAATGATGTTTTAAATGAAAAATAAATATTCACTCGTCCCAACATATTTTATTTACTACGTTTAAAAAAAAGTAATAATACATTAATAACAATTTACTTTTACAAATTTCTATCTAAACGGAGCCCAATGATGTTTGACAAACAATTTTTTCAAAATCTTTTAGTTTATTAAATAATTTAACTTTTTGACCAGTAAATCAACTAATCAGTATGATATTAGTGGGTGTAAATAATTGTCCATATTTTTCATTTTTTAATGTCTTTTTTGTCCGTAAGAGATAGTGTGATAGTATTAGGTGGACTCGTAATTAAACCGAAAGTTTACCTAGAATCCATCACCAGTAACCGCATATTTTTACGTCATAATAATAATAATAATAATAATAATAATAATAATAATAATAATAATACCAGAAATGGCAGCAATAACTAAGACATTAAACTACTTCACCAAATAAAGGAAGAAATTTAAGAACCAATTGATTGTAAGGACAAAATATCCAGCATCCCGACATAAAATAAATAAAATAAATAAATAAAATCCAGCATCTATTTTATTATTTATTTATTTATTTTTTTTTGCATGGCATTGCATTGCATGGAGAGACAAAACACAGTACATGACAATTTAATATAATATTGGCAATTCATATGATATTGTTTCTATCATTTAATTTTTTGCTGTCAAAAAATACTTTTATTTATTTATTTAATAGAAAAAACATATTATTTTTAAAATTATTATAAAAGATTAAAAAAATATATAACAAAGAATATTCACATATATTAAAATTTTTACCCAAAAATTTGAACACCCTTTTGAATGACAAATGAAGTTAAATTGAATAAATACACTAACTTGTTCCATATGTTCTTTTCTACGAACGTACGCAGGTCTTCATAAAATTGATCATACATTAAAGGCGGCTGTCATAATTTACCTTGCATAGGGTGTCTTGATTTTGACTTGAGTTTGAGATTTTGATTTTAAATAGTATTTTGATTTAATATTTTGTTAAAATAAATAATGTATTTTTAACGAGAACCGTAAATAATATATATTTTGATTTGAAATTATAAAAACACAAACAAATAGACAAATTAATGACTTATGCGGGTTGTCCTAAATGTAGTATTATTATGTCATAATCACTACTGTATGCAAGAAAATAAAATATATTGTTCGTCATAATATATATATATATATATATTGTTGAAGAATTATAGCCTACATGCAAATTGTTTTCTATTTGAGGTTCTAGAACGATGAAATGTAGAAAGTGAAATACTATAAGTTTTGATCCATTCAAGTTATCATATGGTGAAATTATTATGTTTATATATATAATATTAAGTATGTGTTTGTTTGGGGATTTGGATTTTGAGTTGGGATTTGAATAGTAAAAATTTTGAATTTGAATAGTTGTATGATGTGATATAAATAGGTGTTGATGTGATGTTTTGAATGTAAAATTAATTTTTAATATAATATAAAAAATAAAAAATAGATGTTTGATTTGATATTTTTTTTTTAGAAAAAATAGGATAAATAGTATAAATCCAATCCAATCCTCCGAAGAACACACATTTTGTAGAATGAGACTACCAGCACATTAATTGAGTTCCAACTACATATAATTTTCAAGGCTATAAAGTTGACAAGAACAACACACCTTCCCTTCTATAAAATACGTGTCACTTGGGACATAATTAAATGCCAATGTGCATATCCATCTTTATAAACTATAAGGGGCTCTTTGATTTAAAGATTTAACGAGATTTATGATAATTGGATTTTAAAATTCCATGAAATTCATATTTGGTTATAAATAAAATGATAGAAATTTAAAATGACGGAATTTAAAAAAGAGATTCAAAATTCTACAAATGAAGAATTTTTTTGTAATAAGAATACCTGTTATTTTTAAATCCTATTCTTTAAAATTTTGCTTTTTATTTTTATATCCTCTTATAAAAAGATAATATTATATATTATAAATATATTTATATAAAATAAAATTAAATAATTTTTAAATTAATTATTATTTAAATTATAGTATATTATTTTTTATGGTACAATATTTTTTAAATAAATTAATTAATTCATTATTTAAAATTATTATTAATTATAAATTTTATTTGAATTATAAAATTTTAGAGATGACAATTAGTCGGGTTCAGTCGGAACTGAGATTCATTCCGAATATATAATGTTAGATCCAAAACCCAAATTGAAACAGATTATACCGGATCCAACCGAAACTATACCTGGTAAAATTGGGATCCAAAAAATTCAACTTTTTTACAATTCTTAAATTTTAATTTAAAATTGTCATGCCGACATATATTAAAATGTATGTATTTTTTTTTTCAAAAATATCATAATAAAATAATGAATAAGTTAAACTCAAAAATTATTTTAAATATAATTATATTGTTAGAAATTATTTTTTCATATGTATAGTTGATATATTATTAATATATTACCCTGAACATGACCTAGACATAATACGCAAATATATAAACTAATGTATATTAATTATATTTAACAAATATATATATATATATATTTCACCATAATCCAACTTATAATCAAATACTCCCTCCATCCCACATACCATATCCACGTTGCCGTTTCTGCCCGTCCCACATACCATGTCACTTTCTTTTTTTAAAAAAAAATAATTACACACTTTAATCTCATTTTAAACTTTTTAATTTTATTTTTTTAAAAATTTTAATTAAACTAATTAGTTATTTTAGTCTTAATTTAGGATAATTATTTTCACTAATACATTCTTAATTATCTACTAATTACACCCCTTCTAAAATAAATATCGTATCTACAGTGTAGCAGACACGACATATGAGACGGAGGTAGTAATATTTAATTATTCAACAATAAAATTAAACTTCCAAATATAGAATGCAATCTAAACTTCTTAACAATGGGAAGAAAATGGACCAAGTATATATGAAAAGACTAGGGTAGTTGAAATCTATTAAATGAAAGAAGATATACAAAATATCTCATGATATTATTGTATTATTGATTTAGCCACACATTTTTGCTACTAATTCATGTCTTTCTTCTTGGCTCTTGCCCTCCAAATTTAGAGTAAATAAAATATTATCATGGGACCTTCCTACATTTAATACCTCATCTGTCACTACAATTTCCTTAAATGCATTAGTCTTAAGCATTTTGTAATGACACACAATACTACATGGTCTTTGTAGAAACATTATGTGTTGTGTATATCATTAACATGTGTTAATACTTATATATTTTATATTATATTGTCTTTAACATATGATATTGTCAATTCATATATTGCATTGTATTATATTATCGGAAATATAATTGTGTATTCTTTCTGTGTGCTCTACTAAGGTATATAATTTGTTTAGATCAATAGCGATATGTGTTACTCAGACTATTGTCATACCCTATTAGTATATATTACTCTCTCTGTCCGGCTCTGGTCTCATTTACCTTTTGCATCATTGTATAACATTAAGAATATTTTTATATTTGTATAATGTTTTGCACAAATATTATTATAAAAGTATTATAAAACACTAATATAAGTATTTTTGTCATTTTCTCTTAATTTGTACTAAGTTTTTAGATAATAATTAATATTCAAAGATCAATACAACAAAAAATAAATGTGACCCTTAGAGCCGGACGGATGTAGTATTATATTAACATAAACTTATGTTGTCTATTTATTTCTTATATGTTACCAATGTATATTTAGGGTGTGTTAGTTTGGGAGATTTTAAGGATTTTTACTATTACAAAAAAAAAATTCCCCTAAACAAATCATATTAAGTATTTATTTTTATTTTTTTATATTATATTAAAAATTAATTTTATATTCAAAATGTTACATCAAACAATATTATTTTAATTTAAAATTTTACTACTAAAAATTCAACCTACCAAACAAACACACCCTAACCGACCCCTTATCAAAATATCCCTTCAAATTTTCACCACATGGAATCATGCTATATATAGAACAATCTTCCTATGTTCTTCGACTCATTCAAGATACTACTATTATTTTAAGTTTCTTATCAAATTCACTTACTGAAAATGAGGGTTCATTACCTTGTTATAATAAGGCAGCTTTTTTTCCTATCTTTGTTTGCTTCTGTCAGCTTCTGTAAGACCACTGTCAGGACATCATCATCATCATCATACCATGTTGTTGGCACTGCAGAATGTGCTGACTGCAAGAAGAATAATTTTAAAACCAACCAAGCATTTGCAGGTCCTTTAATAATAATCTAAAACATATATAGCAGTATTCAAGTTAATCTTGAACTTACCATTTATGCATTGCATTGCAGGCCTTCGTGTGTCAATCGAGTGCAAGCTGAAGACAGGAGGAGGAGGAGAAATGAAAAGAGTTGCAATCAGTGAGCTCGATGAACATGGCAAGTTCAATGTCTCAATACCGGGAGAGATGGTGCATGAGAGTGGGCAGAAGCTAAAGCAGCAATGCTACGCACAGCTCCACAACGCGGCGGCGCTTCCATGCCCGGAGGCCTCCGAAATTGTGTTCAAGTCTCCACTCACTTTCGCACCTTCCAAAACGCTGCAATTCTCGGTTACTTTGTGCACTTCCAAATTCTTTTGGCCATTTTTCAACCCCAACCATCCCTGGTTTAGTCATCCATGGTTTACTACTCCTACCCCTGTCTACACCCCGCCGGTTTACACTCCTCCACCAGAAGTTCCGGTGAGCACACCACCACCGATAGAAGAACCGCTCCCTCCGCCGCCAATGGAAGTGCCACCTGTCAACGAGCCACCGGTAGAGCCACTTCCTCCGCCGCCAGTGGAATTGCCACCGACTAACCTTCCTCCAAAGCAACCATGCCCACCTACTGAGACACCGCCCGAATTGCCACCAAAGCATTCAGGTCCACCTACTAAGCCACCACCAGAATTGCCACCGCCAGAATTGCCACCACCAGAATTGCCACCGCCTAACCATACACCAAAGCATTCAGGTCCACCTACTAAGCCACCACCGGAATTGCCACCACCAGAATTGCCACCACCGGAATTGCCACCACCAGAACTGCCACCGCCAGAATTGCCACCACCAGAATTGCCACCGCCTAACCATACACCAAAGCATTCAGGTCCACCTACTAAGCCACCGCCAGAATTGCCACCACCGGAATTGCCACCACCGGAATTGCCACCACCTAACCATTCTCCAAAGAAACCATGCCCGCCTAATGAGCCACTAACTCCACCTGCTAATGAGACACCGGTGGAGCCGCTCCCTCCAGCCAACGAGCCACCAGTGCAGCCACTCCCACCACCTGTTCCAAGCTATACACCACATCCATTTTACAAGCATCCATGGATACCAACTCCTAGCCACCCTTAGTAGAGCCACTTCCTCTTCATCAAGAAATAAGAAATATCGTAGCCTGTGGTGTTTAATTTTCAAAAGAGTGCATACTATTAGCTGATAAATTTCATCTGTCAAATAATAAGACTTCCCCGTGTTCCAAGTGAGAAAGCTGCATTGAAATAGAATGCTTCTTGTACTGTTGCCTGAAACTCTGTGTTTGTGTATGTTCATTCTCTCTTGAGTGGAAAATTCAGATATCACTACACTTTCTTCCTTTTCAAAATCAAACTCTTCGAGTACTACAAAACCGGTGAACAAGAAGGGTTGATTCAAGTACTAAATGAATCACAGGTGCTGCTAATACAGATGAACATTATTAGGCTATGTTTACCATATTTGATTTGAAGTCTTTATACTGTAATTCATAACGCTGATACTGTTTAATCACCTGTAGTAAACAGGTCCTTATCGTAAACGGGGATTCGATCAACAAAAAAAAAAAAAAAAAAGATGAACATCCAAAAAGAAGAAACAAAAGAGGTGAGATAACGTTGTAAATTGCATCGTGTGTACAAGTAGTGCATGCACTGCATGGCACTTGCCTAGAACTATCATAACATTGCAGCACTCGATTTCACTAAGACATCTATGATGAGGCCTGAGATACAACATCTTTTGCATTCCATTGTTTCAATTTTATGTTTCAGAAGGCAAAAATAAAAAAAGGTTTTTATCTATTTATTGCTTCTTTATCTCTATTATCAACTTCTATGATTACTCTACTTTTATAGTTTTCTATTTATTTTGAAATGTCCTCCTATATAGGATTTTATTTTTTTTCTTTTTTTTTTTTTATTCCAATTAAGAACTCATTTTATTTCTCTTCTTTGATTTACAGTCTATACTTATAGTTCCTGTTCATGTTCAATGTTTTTGTAAGCCATCAATTCACCATTCTTATCTTATATAGTTAAAAATTGAAGACTACTTATAAATGTTACTTCATCCGTTTCCAAAAAATGTACTAAAACTTTTTGACACCAGTTTTAACGTGGATGTATTCCTTTTTTTCTTTTATAATAAAAAAAACCGTATTATGATTTTTTACTAAATAAATAATAATGGGTGTGTTTGTTCGAGTGATTTGATTTAATTTATACTATTCATAATTTTTTTTTTTCACAAAATATCAAATCAAATATTTATTTATTTTTTATATTAGATTAATAATTAATTTTACATTCGAAATATTATATCAATTCCTATTTATATCACATTAAATAACTACTTAAATTCAAAAATTTACTATTCAAATTAAAACACAATATCAAAATCCCAAAACAAACACACATACAGATAAAGAAAAAAAGGAAAAAAAATAGCACATTTTTTGGAGTATTTAGCATATATATATATATCGTATTTATTCTCATAATGGTTGTTAACAATTTTTTAGCCTTGTGCCATTAACAAAACAAAATAGATTCAATGGTAACTAGCATCTCCTGCTTCATCATCACCTTATGGCTGATGGGATCCAATCTCATGCATAGCTCTAAAAATTACTCCATATTTGTGAACCACCTAGTGTTACGGATCATCACGATTTCACCATATGGATTCAATTAATTACACTAACAAAAATGCAATATACTGATATATATCTTTTGGTTCCTCTTTCTCTGTAATTACAGAGGGAAGCAATGGAATCAAGGTAAAGCATGGTTCTGCATGTCATGTGGGATTCTTTAAATAGCTACCTATCTTTTAATTAATTTAAATTAGACTCCATTTGGATTAACTTTTAGCATGAGCTTCGACTTTTTTTTAAAAAGAAAAAAAAACATTTTGCATATTTTGCATCGACTTTTGTCCAAAAGCTGAAAAGTGTTTTACGAAGGTAGCTTCTGATATAAGCGAAAATAATTTTCAGTTAAAATTATTATTTTATCCTTAATAATAATAAATAAAATACTACAAGATAATATAAAAAATAATTAATTTATATATTATATTTTAATAAAATTTAAAAAATGTACTTATATTATTATTTTTAAATAATATATTATACTTGAATTGAAATTTAAAATTATAATTGAGATATTAAATTTAAAGAATAGTATATAAACTTTTTTAATTATACTAAAATTATTAAATATAATTTATAAAATTTTATAATAAATTGTAAAATACAAATAATTTAATATTAAATTGTAATTTTATTTTTAATTTATATATTATTCTTCAATTAATATTTTAAAATATAAAAACCATATTTTAAAAAATATATTTTTTATATTTTAATTTAAAATATAATTAATAAAATTTAAAAATAATTATAATTTTTTTATAGAAAGATGCAATTATATTAGCATGTCCTTTGATTATTAAAAATACTTTTAACTCTATTACATCCAAAAAAAAATTATGAAAAGCTTTTTTTATAATAATCCATTCAAACACAAAATCGAAATGGTTTTACTTTTGACTTTTACTTATTTTTTAAGTCAATCTAAATTGCCCAGAGAACTAGAGTTGAAATTGTAAAGTTTGAGATAAAATTGGTGCAGTTGAAGCATATTGAATGAAGATAAAGCATATGAATATCCCTTGATGCTAAGCCTTTTAGCATCCACTATTTTCCTCCTAACTGCAGATTTTCTGTCCATCTGTTATTAGGGTTTTTGCTTGAGTAAATGATCAATGGGGCCTAACCTCATGTGCTAACATTTAAGATTTGTCTCTGTCGGTACGATTCACCTATCAAATATCACTTCAAGTTTACCAACTAGACTCATTATATATAGAGCACAAACTTGCCTTGCTTTTCAACACATTCAAAATTATATCAAAAGCATATCTACAAATTAAAGAAATTTAAAGTGTAGATATACATTTTGAGTAAAAAATACCTTTTCAGTTGTTCTATTTTCGAGAGTTGTCCAACAAGCTCTGAATAAATTGAGTCCAATGAGGGTTCATTCCCTTAGTTTCTTCTTGTTGTCTTTGTTGGTTGTTGCAGGATTCTGTAATGCAGATGAACCGTCATTCCAAGTTCTCGGAAAGGCAGGATGTGCCGACTGCGAGAAATACAATTTTAAGAACAGTCAGTCATTTTCAGGTACTTCAAATATTCAGAGAACAAGTGCAATTTTAAGAATAGTCAAGTCGTGAACATAAAATGTATTTTCATATAAGACTTGGTTGATTAAAACTACTAAGCATTGTAGGACTTCATGTGACAATTGACTGCAAGCTCAAAAATGGGGACATGAAAAGAGTTGGCGCCGGTGATCTTGATGAACACGCCGAATTCAAGATTTCTCTTCCGCGAGATATTGTGCATGAAAATGGAGAAAAACTCACAGAGAATTGCTATGCCAAGCTCCACAATAATGCTGCAGCTATACCATCACCATGCCCTGCACCTGCACAGAATGGCCTTGAGGCATCACATATTGTGTTCAAGGCACAAAACACTTTTGCACCCGCTCAAGTCTTACAGTTCTCTGCTGCATTGTGCAATTCCAAATTCTTCTGGCCCTTTTTCAACCCCAACCATCCCTGGTTTAGAAACTTGGGTCATCCATGGTTTCTTCCTCCACCTGTTAACAATCCTACACCAGTTCCTTCACCCCAAGATCCTGGATACACCCCACCTGTTGTTACACCACAGCCACCAATCAAAGCGCCTCTACCACCACCTCAAGTTCCTGCTCTTACACCCCCTGTTGTGCCACTACCTCCACCTTCAGTCCCCACCTACATACCACCAGTTCACACTCCACCAATTAACAATCCTCCTAAGAAGCCATGCCCACCCACCCAACCTCAGCCACCTAACAATGAGCCACCAGTGCACCCCCTCCCTCCACCTGTTCACTATAAGTCAAAACCACCAGTTCACACTCCACCAGTTAACAATCCTCCTAAGAAGCCATGCACACCCACCCAACCACAGCCACCTAACAATGAGCCACCAGTGCACCCCCTCCCTCCACCTGTTTACTATAAGCCAAAACCACCAGCTCATAAGCCTCCTAAGAAGCCATGCCCGGAGCCACCAGTGGAGCCACTCCCTCCACCTGTTCCAGTATATAAACCGAAGCCACCTGCACACCAACCACCTAAACACCCTCTTCCACCACATGTTCCAGTCTACAAGCCAAAGCCACCTGTTCATCAGCCACCAAAACAGCCTGTTCCTGAACCACCAGTGGAACCACTCCCTCCACCGGTTCCAGTCTATAAGCCAAAGCCACCAGTTCATAATTATCCTAAGAAGCCATGCCCACCCAAAAATACAGAGCCACCAGTGCACTACCCTCCTATCAAGCCTGTGCCACCAGTGCACAACCCTCCTAATGAGCCGGAGCCCCCCATAGTAAAACCATTTCATCCACCAGTTCCTGTTCACCTATCACCACCAATGAAAAAGAAACCTTGTCCTCCTATTACGGATCCTCATCCATGATCCACATAGTGTGTAGTGCGCATTGTCACCAGTTGCTAAAATCCCATATATCACAATAAAAATTTCTCCAGTCTCCATGAGAGAAAGTTGTGTGCAAAACAGAAACAATGTCAGCAATGAATTGGGGAAGTGAATCCCAGTCTATTGTTTGTCCTGTTGCTTGAACTTAGCATCTATGTATTTATTGTCTCAGTTGAGTTGAAATCAGATGCTTACATTTCTTTCCTTTTTCCAAGATGAAACTCTTTTCTTGCATTTCAATAAACAGATTAGGTAACTGAATAGCCATACAGATCATAAGTCAGAACGAATTTACACATATATATGTATATGGATACACATATATACATATTTCAGTATGCAAACAGGAAAATTAATGATGACCAAATACAGGCAATGCCATCCGAATGAATACACGTAGCAGAATAACCATAAAAGAATGAAGACAAATCAAGCATTGAGCTATTGGTCCTGGTAATGAAAACCCAGTGTCTTCCAGGATATTAATTGCACCATGTGAAACAACTCAACTACTGTCAGCCATGGCATATCCTGCTTCATCATAACTCCATAATTAAATAACAAAAACTGTCATCTGGACAGAATCTTTAATCATATCAAACAACCAAATTTTCCACATACATACGCTACAACTAAAAATTAAATAAATAATATTCTCACAAGCAAGCAACCGCGCATATACATAATTCAATCCTTTCGCATTAAACTATCCGCACGATTTTTAGAGTTCAATCAGTTCTTGCAAAAGGATTTAACAGCGCCAACATACAACATACGCATGCCGGCAGTTCAAAGAACAATCTATGAGTTCATAAATCATATCAAACAACAAAATTCAAAATTCTCCGCATACATACACTATAACCCAAAAGAAAATCTCACAAGCAAGCAACCGCGCATATATATAATTCAATAATTTCGCATTAAACTAGCCGATCCATTTTTAGAGTTCAACCAGTTCCTGCAGAAGGGCTGAACAGCGGCAACATGCAAACATACGCATGCCGCCAATAGTTCAAATAACAATCTATGAGTTCTCAAATTAGGAAATCAGACATTGTTAAGTGTTCGGACTCTGATTGTGTAGAGAAATGCGCTTGATTGAACCAAACCGCTATCGATCTTACCTCCTAATGAAGGCCCTCCAAATGAAATTTAGATCACAGTTACTGGACCTTTGGAGAACAATTGGGATTTTTATATCTTGGGCTACTTCACATTCTAAAGAGGCCCATAAATATACTGCAATTTAAAATCAACACGGAAAAAATAAAAGTATGTATTTGAAAAAACAAATTACTTGGCAGGTTTTAACTTTATTTTATTATTTCTAAATTTTTTTATTTAAAAATATTAAATCAAATATTTATTTTTTATTTTTTTATTTATTTTATTACATATAAATTTATATTTATATTTAAAATATTGCATCAACACATATTTATATTACATTAAATAATAATTTTAATTTAAAAATTTTATTACTCAAAATCAAAATTCAAAATCAAAACTTTACCTGTAAAGTCACTCTAAATATTTTATATTATCTTCATCCCAAATCGTTTAAGGGTGCGTATACTATGCAAGATTATGATAGGTAATAACAAGTTTTTCTTTTTTATAATTGAGGAATCTGCAGTCGCTGGCAAGTATGTTCTGAGTAAATTCTCGGTCAAACTCAATAGCATGCGAACTAGACTGACAAGGCACGTCACATTAAACTTGCTATATGTAGCAAGCAATGTGAGTGTGAAAAAGGAGAAGAGTAAAATATTGGTCTTGTCCCACTTGGGAAGAATAACCACCATCTCCTTATATGTACTTAGTCACATTTATTGTTCAATTGGGATTGGATTAGATATGATATTGACTTGGGTTTGGGCTTTGACTTGGGCTTGAGATTGGGCATATATATAGTCTAGATTGGGCCTTGAGGCCATGGTGTCTCGTCGGTCAGGGTCAATCGCAGAAAATCCAATTAATTTAAAATTTTACTTTATCTGATTAATTTATTTTGACAGTTTTAAATTTAATCGAATAAAGCAAAATTGTTTGCAACAAACATTGCAACGTGTGGAGGCGGTTACGGTTTTAGTGGTCACGTGATATTTTCAATCATCCTCTTCTTAAATTAAAGAACTTAGCCAACAATTCATATAACATGAATCAATTCCTAAAGTACACTACACTTTTACTCTCTCATTTTTATGTTTTTCTTTTCAATTTCCTCCAAAAACTTCCTAAGATTTTCTTTGTTCGGTTCGTGGTGGGATCGTCAATCCCTAATTTATTCGTTTTATCTTGGGAAGCAACCGATGGCGGGCCGAATTTGCTTTAAGGAGATCGTGTGCAACGCAAAACTCAAATTTGTTCTTAATCAGATATGTTATCTGATTTCGAATTGAGCATCTCGATTTTCAATAATATTTTCGAATAACAATCTTGAAGCAAATTTCCCGTGTGAAAATCTTAGATGGCTGACAGAATTCCCTTGATTCTCGATCAAATTACGGCTGCCCAGAACGTACCTGATGACGAAGGAATGATCAACGTTGTGCGCGATGGAGGTGAAAGAAATCAAAACGATGACTTTCAAATTGGTGCATACGAGGATGAGAACAAAGAGGTGAACTCCAGCGAATCGCACACTCCCTCCGTTCCAGAATCGCAACCACCCCACACAACTGGTGACGCCACTGAAATAGCTGCTGCCAGGCATGAAGCGTGCGAGGCGGCCATGAGGCTGCTTCTGTGGAAAAGGCTGCGAAGGCAACGTACGAACAAGCCTTCAAGGCCGCGATGGAGGGGGCGTAGCCTATTGCTGCAACCTCCAACCAGCCTGTTGTTGAATTACATAAACGACATCCTGTTGATGCCCGACTAAAATAGCTTGCTTCTGTTCTACCTCGTCCGTAACGTATGGCTGTAGGACTTGTGCAGGGTCTCATTGCCTCTGCCCAACAACAACTAGACGAGTTGGAGGGTATACAACCTATTATTGTTATGGACCATGTAATGCAGTCTGTTGCTGCAACTTTCAGGTAGCCTGTTGTTGCGGCAGCCGATAAGCTAGAAAAATTCAATGGGAAGAATTTTAAAATATAGCAGCAGAAGATGTTGTTTTATCTGACCACGCTGAATTTGGCAGATTGGTTGACGGGGGATGCACCTTTTGTGCCTGAAGGATCCCTGGAAGAACAAAAAGCACAAATTCTGAATGTCTGGAACCGTTCAGACTTTATGTGCAAAAATTATGTACTAAACGGCTTGAGCGACACCCTGTAGGGTGTCTATCGGTATGCGTTAATGGCTAAGCAACTGTGGGAGACGCTGGAGAAAAAGTACATAACCGAGGATACTGGTGCAAAGAAATTTATCGTCGGACGGTTTCTGGATTTCAAAATGGTCGATGGAAAAAGCGTTACAAAACAGCTTGATGCGTTTTAGCTGATTTTGCATGAGTTCCAGGCCGAGGGGATGGAGCTGAGTGAAGTTTTCCAAGTGGCGACGATAATTGAAAAATTTCCACATAGTTGGGGTGATTTCAAAATTTACTTAAAACACGAACACAAGGAAATGGATATGGTGAGATTGATTAATCGTCTTCAAACTGAAGATGAGTATAGATCGAACCTGGAAAGCAAAGGACATCTGATACTCGGCAGAAAGGCCAATGTCGTCGAGCACAAAGGCCAAGGCTCTCGTTCTAAGACAGCTCCGAGGAACAATTAGCAGCTTGGAAAGAACTGGAAGCCAACGGACAAGGGAAACGAGAAGCTGAAGCCATCTCGCAGCGTTAAAAAGGAAAAGAAGTACCTTCAAAGGTAACTGTTTTAATTGCGGAAATGTCGGACACCGTTCGATAGACTTCAAGGCGCCGAAAAGTAAAAAAGAGACGAATCAAGCACACGTCGTTACTAAAGATGAAAAGCCATTCGACCTGACATGTGTTGTCTCTGAGGCAAATCTGGTGGGATTAAACAAGAAACAGTGGTGGCTCAACACGGGAGCAACACACCATATCTGCATGGACAGGAATCAGTTCTCATCATTCAAGCATATCGAAGGAGAAACGATGTACATGGGGAATGCTGCTCATGCTGATGTCAAGGGAAGAGGAAAGATGTTTCTGAAGATGATGTCTGGAAGAGCTGTGACGCTAACCAATGTCCTCTGCGTGCCAGTGATGACGAAAAACCTGGTCTCGGGGACATTTTTGATGAAACACGCCTTTAATATTAATATGAATTGTGATAATTTTGTTTTGCATAAAGTAGGAGTGTATGTGGGTAAAGGTTATGTGGAGGATGGACTTCTTGAATGTTGTATTATGACTGTCATTGAAAATAATAATAATAATAATAATAATAATAATAATAATAATAATAATAATAATAATAATAATAATAATAAGTCTGTTGCTTAAATTTTTTAGTCCTCTACTTTATGGCATAGTCGATTGGGTCATGTTAATTATGATTCAATTCGTTGATTAATTAACCTGAACCACATTCCGAAATTCGAATGAAATATACACAAATGTGAAATTTATGTTGAAGCAAAACAAACTAGATCGTCTTTCCAAACTATTCATCGTGAAACTGAACCACTCGAATTGAATCATAGTGATGTATGCAATCTGAAAAGTGTACAAACGCGTGGTGGTAATAAATATTTTATCACATTTATTGATGATTGTACAAAATATTGTTATGTTTACTTGCTTAAGAGCAAAGACGAGGCATTAAGTAAATTTTTTTTGTACAAAAATGAAGTGGAAAACCAACTTAACAAACGGATTAAATGAATTCGAAGTGACGAAGATGGAGAATATGAAACTCTGTTCGGTGATTTTTGTGCACAAAATAGAATAATTCACGAAGTAACTCCACTTTACTCACCTCAATCAAACGGCGTTGTTGAATTCAAAAATTGCACATTAAAAGAAATAGAATGCGATGTTGTTAAGTTGTGGATTACCCCAAAACATGTGTGGGGAGGCAATTTTAAGCAATAATTATCTAGTTAACTCAATAATTCGGAGAAAGATGGAGAAGACCCCTTATGAGCTTTGGAAATGTCGAAAACCATCTTACAAACACCTTCGAGTGTGAGGGTGTCTAGCTAACGTAGTGGTGCCAGCTCCCAACGTGTGAGAATCGGTCCCAAGACAATGGACTCTATTTTCATAGGATATGCACATAACAATACTGC